TCCTCCAGTGCCTTCAGTTCTTTGTCCATGGCTTCACGCCATTTCTCCCTGTGTTCCCCCCCCAGAGCCTGTTGAACCGTCGCAGGCTCCTTAGGAATGGCGGCGCCATGGACTGTGGTGACGAGACCAAGGATTTGCAGCCCAGTCTGTGAGTATCGAGGGAGTTCTGGATCCTCGGGATAAGCTGCTTCGTCTCCCGCTTCTGGGTCGGGTATGAAATTCGGCCCTACCCTTTCTGATTCGTTGGTGTTGACTGTCGCAGGTGTTACGTAACCATTATCGGCGAAATGGTAGAAGACTTCGGCGTTGTTACTGTCGCGAGGATTATCCTCATCCATGGGCACGTTGACGGAGCAGTACAGAAGAGGTCCGGCTTCCTCCGATGCGTTGTCGACGTTCTGCTCATCCCAGTCTGCTTCATCCGCTGCTGAGGCGAAGGCTCGGTCACCACGAAAGCCACTGATGAGGTCCCGATTCTCGTGCAAGTTGGCGAGGTACGTCTGAAGGGTGAGGCGTTCGTAGAAGATCACATCTCGTGCTGCTACTGTTTCTTTTGTGTGGACGTCGAAGATTCTCCACGCGTTGTAATTTTTCTCGATGCCGAGGTGTAGTCCCCACTGTGCCCGTTGCGAAAATCTTCCCGCTCGTGCTTCTGGGGGTCTGTACTGTACCATGCACCCGAAGACTCGTAACATTTTTGTGCTGCCCTGCTTCCCTGTCCACAGCAGATGCGGTGATGCGTTGTTCGGGAGTGACGACGACGACAACAAGTTGTGCAGCATGACAGCATGGTCCATTGCTGCTGGCCACTGGTGGTTGGGTAGCCGCATGCCACTAACAGTTTGCGCATGCTGTTCTGCAGAGTCCTGTTCATTCGTTCTGCGACACCTTGCTGCTGATGTGCGTAGGGAAGGGAGAGGAGTTGCTTGATCCCCCTCTCCGCCAGGAACTGCTTGAAGCGCTGAGAGGTGTACTCGCCACCTCCGTCTGACTGGAAGCTTTTCAGTTGCGTTCCAGACTCTCTCTCTGCTATCGGTAGCCAGGCGGCGAATGCTGCGAGTGCCATGTCGCGGCTGGGTAGGTTACGATGCCAGACATATCGAGTGGCGGCGTCGATGAAGGTGATGGTGTAGTTGTAGTTAACTTGTCCTGGTTCGCGATTGTAGAGGATGTCGCTGTAGACCTTTTCGAGTGGTGCGTACGCTGGAGCGCTCGGGTTGTGATGTGGAGCGAACGGTCGATGAGGTAAGTCAGCTTCGGGACATATAAGGCAAGTCCCTCGTGCCTTCTGGAGTTCTCTGCCATCGGGTAGAAGTAGGGAGTCTTTGTCAAGAACTCCTGCTCTTATCGTGTTATTTAAAACCGTGTTGCTTGGATGTCCTGTGCGTGCGTGCCAGATCTCTTCAGAGGCGCGGTGTCCGGGTGAACGTTGGTATGCGTCGGAGTTGGAGTAAAAACTGGCGACGAAGTTGGCGCTTCGGTGGACTTCACGTTGAGTCGGATTCAGCTGTTGCGCGGGTGTTGGTGGTGCTTCGTCGACTGTGACCGGTGTCGTTGTTCCTGCTGCTGCTGATGTTGTCTCTGCTGCCGATGTTGTTGCTGCTGCCGATGTTGTTGCTGCTGCCAATGTTGTTGCTGCTGCCGATGTTGTTGCTGCTGCCGATGTTGTCTCTGCTTCTGATGTTTGTTGAATCGTCGCTAACGCTCTTGTTCGTTCTGCTTCAGGGATAGTGTGGGAGTACCAGAAACCTCCCGGGCTGAAGTCGGGGTCGAGATCAGGAGGGTGTGTCCAGTCAGTAAAATTCACGATGGCGTCGCTGTCTGCAGTGCCCAGGTCAAGAACGAAGTCGAGGACGAAGACGTTGTTCTTCAGTACTGCATTCCCGATGTAGAGACCGCCTCTCCCGTGGTATAGCTTGAACTCCTGGGTGGTGCTGTCGGCTTCCAGGTGAATCCCCTTCGCCATCAGCTGGCTAACACTCAGTAAGTTGTAACCGAGTCCTTCAGCAATGAGTACCTTGGACATGTGCAGTATGACATTTGTTTCTCTTGACTGAAGCTGTACCACTCCTTGTCGTCGTGTGCGCAGGTTTTGATTGTTGGCGACCGTGATGATCACTTCTCGTTGGAGTCGATGTTCACGTTGTACGAAGCGCCCGGACGAGCACATGTGTTGCCCGCAGCAACTATCCAAGAACCAAGTGTCTTGGCCGGACGGTTCACTTTGAGCGATGGCGGCGTAAGTCGGATTCGGGTGGAGTGATTCGCGTCGAGGCGTCCTGTTGTCGAGCTCCTCTTCTAGTGAGTAATGGGGTGGTGACTCTGTTATGCAAGAGTCGTTTATCTTTACCATGCAGTTGACTATGTTTCTTGCTCCTTGTGCAGGTTGTCCAGTTGAAGTCGTTGAAGCTTGAATCGTTGTTGTCGGACTTGCTTGCGTTGAAGCAACTTGTGAGCTTGAAGGCCGCAGTTGTCGCTGTGGTGTTGTCTGACGAGACGGGCAATGCGTGCGGGGGTGTCCTGATGTTTTGCAGATGTGACAAAACGGAGGTACTGACTTCGGCTGCTGCTGTCGGTTGTTGTAGTTGTTGTGTCGTCGCTGAGTGTGGAAAGCGAACTCCGGTGCTAATGCCCTTTTCTTGTGCCTTGCTTCTTGCAGGTCCATATCCTGTTGCTCGGCGTGGATTTCGGCGCAGAGTGCCGCTTCGGAGATCCTCCCGTGTGCTCGAAGAATTGCTTTGGTGGCGCGCCACTGAGGACCGAGGCCACCGATGACGACTGTTACGAAGGCGTCTTCAGAGATTGATCCTCCGCATCGAAGAAGCTTGTCGCGCAATTCGCGACATCGGCTGATATACGCCAACCCCTTTTCTCCTGGTTTCATTTCAACTGTTGTCAACTGCGCCATTAACTTGCTCTGGTTTACACTGTCTGTTGCCTGATACAGGTTCTTCAGATGGCCGTACGCAAGTTCCGCCGAGCTGCCGAAGTTCCGGTAAGAGCGAATGTTCTGCTGCTAGGTTGGTGTGATGTTTCTCAGTAGAATAGTATACGCCATCATCGATTGATACGTATACTGCTGCTTCTCATACTGTGTGCCGTTTGCTGGATACTGCAGGGATCCGTCGAAGAAGCCGAGTATCTGCGCGCCCTCCATCATCAGCTCGAATTCAAAGGACCAGGTGAAGAAGTCCTTTCCGTCGAAAGGTCTTGACGTTTGTAATTTCAAAACATGCGCGAATTGCGACTGAACTTGTAACGCGTCCATTGGTTTGTCTTGCGCAGGTGAAGGTCGAGGCAGGAAGCTGATCGACCCGCGCTCGTACGGGGCGAAGGTGGGTTGCTGCTGTTGATTCCCTCGCGCATATGACGACCCATCAAGGCTCATGGGTGTCGCTCCGTTGTTGCTGTTGTGTGTCTGTGCAGGTCCCGACTGCTGGTGTTGCTCGTAGAAGGACATGAAGGAGAAGAATTTCTCCATCATGCTCTGGTCGAAGTCAGAAGGGTGATTCGTGGGGGTCTCGGTTGACGTTCCCCTTGGTCTTGCTGCCGTGCCTTCCTCTGTCTGCAGGCCAGAGGGTGGTGGTGGAGTAGGAGTAGTGCTCGAGGAGCCATTAGGGGAGCTCCTTTCCTTGTTTGTTGCCATGTCTTGTAATAAAAGGTTTAGAGTTTTCCCCTGTCAGCTCTCATACCATGTTGGGCTGAGAAGGCCCTTAAGGATCTTTGCAGAGGATAACTCTGGGTAGGAAACTTGTAATAGCGGAAGCGTTTAATGAAACTTGTGAACCGACCTTGCACTAGTGTGTGAGAGCAAAGTTGATTAAATTAAACAAGCAAATACAAGGTTTTATATATAAGAGTACAGGGAATACGAATAGATAGATAACTGTATTGCTGTTGCGATTCGATACAGTGCGACTCGGGCAACTGCTCTGTAACGAGTCAGTTGTGTGTCCTTAACTGTCGCGCTGTAATTGTCGAGTCAAAGGTCGCTGACCTTTGACTTTCTCGTAACCTCCAGGCGGTTACCCTAACCTCCGAGGTTTGACTCGATGCTTCGATTCGGTCTGCTTCGCTAGTGTCTTGGGTTTTGACACGACAGAAGCGCACTAAGACTTATTGTTTCCAACAGATTCCCTGTCAACACACACAGTCAGAATGAGTCAACGTGCGCCCTTGATAGGTCTTTCTGACTGAACGCGTTGCCAGTGAGCCGGGCGAGGGTGAGGGGGCATCGAAATTCAAAATGTGGGAATGAAAATTTTGAGTTTCGTTACAACGATTTCAGTAGAATTATAATAAAAAAGAAGAGGGTGGCGCTTATAATCCGTAAGCCTTCAGGGGTGTGCTTATAATCGAGGACCGGATATAAGCGCCCTCATCCTTTTATAAGCGCCGGTGCTTATCCGAGGCCTGCGCTTCTATCCGGGGGCTTACGGTAGTACTTGTACCCAACTCTTTCATAGTTCATTTCATCCTTGTTCTAAGTTTCACATAAACAGCATGTCTACGACATCAGATGAACCAGTAAAAATGTGTTCAGAATCCAGAAATCCAGACCAAAAAATTCTGATAACATAGGCCCTGCGCACAAGTCCGACAAGAGGTTTGCCTGATAAAGCGGCTGTGGGAACCCAACAACATTTGGTATTTACCTTGTAACGGTAGTAACGTTGTTTTCATTGAGAAGGTTAGCTTTTTGCCTGTCAGAGGAAGAATACGGGCACAATATACGGTAATCAGAAATACAGATTAGGACATGGGTAGTGTTAGGGCCAAGTCAGCTACCTACTGTAAGTTAAGCAACATGTGCATCGAACTTCTCCGTGACATGTACAGGCTACGGAAAAACAAGTAAAGCAGACGGAACTCGCTTATCAGTTAAGGAGCTGTAGCCCTGTTGGTTTGGTCCCATGTCACCTTGCACTGCATCAGGGGCCGTTTGTAACGAGTTGGGAGAAACTTGCGCAATGGCAGCACCTGGGGAAGCAAGTGACATGCTAGGGCTTGTAGTAGAGGAAGAAGAGGAGATCACTCTCACTGGTGGCGCAAGAGGAGGTGCTCTGAACGCCTCCGTGGGCGATCCTCTTGGTATCATGGTTAACGGAGGGGTGACCACGGCCGGTCGTGGTAACAGTGGTCTCGGCGTGGAGGGCGCGGAGAGCACTCTGGGAGAGAACCAGTCCATCACCCATGAGGAGCCATGCCCAGGAGATGTAGGGCTTGTGGTGGTAGTCGAGATCTGCCCTACAGCACTAGACCCATCAACAGCAGCCCTACCATACCTCATACCATCCCTCACGCGCAGTCCTTCCCTGAAAGCCCCACCACCTCGCGTCGCACCTTCACCGGCTCTCTCGCTTTCACCACTCCCGGCTCCACCCCTCTCCCCTGCATACCTTAGAAACCCGTCCCTTTCCTCACGCGCCCCTCGCACACCAGACCTGCTGCTACCGAGGGCTTCCCATGCAGCTGCCACTCCATCCCTACCGGTTATGCCTACCCCAAATATGCCTCCCCCGCTGCTGCCTGTCGAGAAGCTCCCTGCCTGCCAGCCCCCAGCCCCTCCAACCCTGGCTCCTGCATTCGCCTTATCTCCACTCCTTTCACCCGCACTGAACGTCCAGCCAGTGCCAGAACTCCTTGAGCCTGTGGTTCTGGGTCCCACGGCATCTAGCTTCTCCCCGTGCTCGCCCATCACAGCAGCACCCAAGGGACGTGCCACCTGCAGGCGCAGCGACTTGAACTGGGCTAACCTCTGAGATCCCGACTGCAACCTCCCGCTGCTGCCGCTGCCGCTGCCGCTGCCGCCGCCGCCGCTGTTGCTGTTGCTCCGCATGCTGTTGCTTCTAAATCTGTTAAAACTGCCACTGCTGCTGTTGTTGCCGTTGCCACTGCTACTGCCACTCCCGTCCTCAGTGCCGTAACTGCTGCTCTCCCTCACGCTCGTCGAGCTCCTGCTTCGAGTCATCCCACCATGCCATGAACTGCCACTACTACCCGCATCTGCACTAGCAACCTTCACAGCAGCACGACCATCGCCATTGCCTCGGCCTGCCTCCTCCGCCACACCGGACGACACCGCCACTGGCAGCAGCAGCCCACTGAACGCCCGTCTTGCCCCCCACGGTCCGTTCCCCTGCCCGCCCCCACCGCTGCCGCCTCCCCCGCCGCTGCCAGTGCCACCCCGCCGACCGACGCTGCTGGCCCTGCTCTCCTGCTCCGTGGCAGTCGGCGCGCTGCAGCGATCCTGCACTCTCAGGTCGACTCTTTGCTGTCGCTCAGCAATAAATGCTTGATTTCTTGCCGCGCCGCTACTAGCGCTGAACAGTGAAGAAGCAGAGAAAGAAACAGAAGCGGCAGAAGCGGAAGAAGCGGAGCTCGCGCCAATGAACTCCGCCATCTGGCTCGCCCAGTCGCTCGTGAAGGCGGCGGCGGCGAGCGCGCTCGCCGCCACCTCGTTGCTCTCGCGCGCGCCACGGCCCTTCCCCTTGCCGCTACTACCCACGGTGGTAGTGGCGCCATCCACGGCTCCCTTCGCGCCGCTCGAATCTCCGCGGAAAGCGGGGAGCTCAAAGCCCCGCTTGACCTTCCCCTCCGCCGACTTTTCTCTCGGCGAGAGAAAGTCTATTAAAGACCACGGCCCCGCTCCCTCTGAGAAGCTGCTGCTTCCGCCGTCGCAACAACCGCCTCTGCTTGCTGCGTCCCCTCCCCCGTCGCCGCCGCCGCCGCAGCCGTTGCCGCCGGTTCTGCCGTCGTAGGCTGCGAGGAACGTGGATAATCTGCGGTCCGCCGCGGCGCGGACGTCGCTGTTCCGCGAGAGGCGCGGGCGGGGCAGCGCCGTGAGCGCGCGGACGAGCTTCCGCGAGGAGGCGGAGAGCAGACCGCGCGGAGAGATGAGGGGCGCGGCGGAAGCTTGCGCGGGAAGGTACGCGGGGGGGGCAACTGCGGAACCCGCGGTAGGTGCGGCATCGGCGATGCGACCGACGCTGCTCCGCGTGCGACGAAGCGAGGCCGCGGTATTAGTTTCGGGAAACGACTCCGCCGCGCTGGAATTAACGGCGGAGACAGTTGTTGCGTCACTACAACGATTAGTAATGTCAGTGCTTGTTGTGTTTGCAGCCGCAGCGTGTTCGGTCGGACTGTCCGTGCTGGTCGCTTCACAAGCCACAAGCACAGGCGAGGTCGCCGTTAAACTGGCACTTACGCTGCCGGCGCCTCCTGACGGCATTGACGACGCTCGAAACAACCGCGTCGCCGCCGCCGCCGCCGCGAACCACGGGTGGTTGGACGCGGCACCGGCGCCTTGCGCCTCGTCGTCCGCGACGCGTTGCGGATCTTCCGTCGTGGAAGCAGGCTTGCGGGAGGAAACGGGCATGAAGCAGCTAACAGCGGCGGCCGGGGGGATCATTGCACGCATGACGTCATCATCTGGCTCCCATTCCGAGTCGGCACGCGCAGATCTAGTAACGTCGGCTGGAGGCTCATGATGCCGCGTCGCCCTGATTAACCTCGGATCTTGGATCGGCGCTTCGCGGCGCCCCATAGCGCCGGAGGCGGCACGTGAATGGTCTGAGCGCGAATCCGTAATCCATTCAAATCGCAAGGAACTCGAGGAAGATTCCGCAAATGCGGCCGACGCAGCGCGCGCGAGAGCCGCAGGGCGGAACAGCGCGTACGTTCCGCCCGGCTGCAGAAACTGATCCCGCGGAAGGGGCGCGGGAACGGCCGGCTCCCGCGGAGGTTTGGGCGCAGAGGCGGCGGGGAAAAGGAGCCCCGCGGATGTTCCTGCAACTGGGGACCCGCCGCTGCTGCTTGCAGTAGCCGCAGCTGCCGCGACCGGCGGTGGGATGACATTAATGGAGGCAGGTTTGGGGGAATGGCTGTCTGCTGCAGCTGTAGAGCATGTCGCCCCGGCTATAGGATCAGCGGCGCTATTTTCTTGAAGTGGTTGGTTGAGCGACGCGAGAGAATGACAGGGGAAGCCTCTCAAAACGTCCGCAACCTGCAGCAGTGCCTCATGATACAAACGAATAGAGCCATCTGGAAGGAGGACTATGACGGGATTGGACGACTCTGCAGCTGGCATGCCTACGGCTGATTATGGAGGCTGCACGAAAGTGGTAGTCTTGAACGTGAGAGATGGGTTGGACTAACTATCACTCGCCTCAGCCAACTAGTATTTCCAGCCTCAGAAAGAGAAGCTGGTATGTAGTAGGCTGGCGTTCTGAGAATTGGTGTTGTCGTGAGAGCAATGTGTTACGAGAAACGAGCAAGCAAACAAGGAAGAGCTGACAAACGACTTCTAAACACCCTGCTGTTGTCCCACCCCACAGACTGTACTGTACACTTGCCATACTGTACACGAGAATTTTTTTTTGTACTGCACATAGATTGGAGGGGCCTCCTCAGTTGAATTTTAGGTGCTGTACAGTGTTGTGCATTACCCCGAAACACGACTCACTACACCCTAATGCTCACTCAACCGCCCACTCTGAACACGCCCACTGCCACTCCAGTGGTCGACATTCACAGCCAACGGCCCGCGCGTTACTAGCCCACGACAAAACTAAGATATTCTTGACCTCGAATAAGCTATTCGAGTTTCCCAGACAAGACACGCTGGGCTACCCAGATACAGTCCCATTCTCCCCTTAGCGAGCGCGTGCTCGAAAGAGGAGCACAGAGAAAGATGGGGAACGAGACTGAAATGGGCATCAGGTGTAAATTCTACGCCCACTCTTCCTGACCTGTATACTGTAGTGTTTCTATTTCCGGTCGTGCTGTCCGGTCTCCATGACGCAAGTGACACTGGGCAGACGTTCTTACGTCTTCTTGGATGGACATATGGGAGCAGGCACTGAGCAGTGGCTATTGCACTCCGTTTTGAACTTCCCGCTGGCTAGCAGGGCAAGGCACTACTGTAGTTTGAACTGAACATTATAGACTGTCTGGTTATTTTCGCGGTTTTATACAACCTTGTGCTGTAAAAGGGTGTTCAAAGTACTGCACCAGCTCGACGTCGAGGAACGTCGGTGAATTTCGACCGTCGGATAAGAAATTCCTACCGTCAGGATCCACCGACGTCCCTCGACGTCGAGTTTTTGCAGCACTTTGTACACGCCGTAATAACAACAAGCTTGTTAGGGGTTCATTGTACTTGCGTGGCTACTCAAGGCCTGATACATTGATTTCGCGGAGGTGAACCATCGAGTTCGTCGGGAAGTGGGGGTGGAAATTGTTCAGGGTACATGCAGACAGAAAGTCTATATTTGGTCTCAGGTGAATCTGTTGACCTTGTTTGCGCCGATGTCTGTGGTGCGTCAAACTTATCGTGGAATTGGACTGAACTGTCTGTCGGGCGAGTTTTCCAACCCATGCGTGCAACTTGAGATTTGACAGGGCGGCGTTTCACACAACGGCACAGATACAGTACACCCAGCCCACAATATCCTCACTCCGCAACATAGGGACACATAATTCTCTACACATCCCACGTCTATTTTCACATTGTGGGGTAATTTTGTGAACCGAGGGCAATTAATGACGTGCCACTTTCTTCGTCACAAATTCGGCTGACTCGTGTTGATCGATGCAACATTTGCATCCTCCCTTCTAAAATTTGTCTCCAAAGAGTTGGAAAGGTATGAAAGTGCAATAAGAAGGAGGGGGTTTTGTGCGGATATATGTCAGAACATTATAGCTTATGCTATTGTGTAGGCTATAGTGGGGTATCCCATAGGGGGTACAACACAACTAGGGTTTCATATTTGTACTCGCTTCATTCATAGTTCATTCATTCTCGTTCAACTTTTCTCATGGTATCGAGCAGGTTCCCCTGTGGGAACTGCGCCTAGGGCCCACCACTTCGAATTTTTTTTTACTGCCCGAAGCGCGCTCATCCCGAGTCGCGCCTCGGGCTGCTAACTCGACGAGCCGCCCTAGCAGCCTTCCCTCCCCTAGCGGCCCTGCCGCCCTAGTGTCGCGGCCCCGCCGCCCTGCTTTAGCGGCCCCGCCGCCCTACGCCTCGCGGCCCCGCCGCCCTCTACACCTCGCGGCCCCGCCGCCCTGCATTTCGCGGCCCCGCCGCCCTACACCTCGCGGCCCCGCCGCCCTGCTTTACCGGCCCCGCCGCCCTGCTTTAGCGGCCCCGCCGCCCTACACTTCGCGGCCCCGCCGCCCTGCTTTAGCGGCCCCGCCGCCCTACACTTCGCGGCCCCGCCGCCCTGCTTCACCGGCCCCGCCGCCCTGCTTTAGCGGCCCCGCCGCCCTACACCTCGCGGCCCCGCCGCCCTGCTTTAGCGGCCCCGCCGCCCTACGCCTCGCGGCCCCGGCGCCCTACACCTCGCGGCCCCGCCGCCCTGCTTTAGCGGCCCCGCCGCCCTACGCCTCGCAGCCTCGCCGCCCTCTACACCTCGCGGCCCCGCCGCCCTGCATTTCGCGGCCCCGCCGCCCTACACCTCGCGGCCCCGCCGCCCTGCTTTACCGGCCCCGCCGCCCTGCTTTAGCGGCCCCGCCGCCCTACACTTCGCGGCCCCGCCGCCCTGCTTTAGCGGCCCCGCCGCCTTACACCTCGCGGCCCCGCCGCCCTACACTTCGCGGCCCCACCGCCCTGCTTTATCGGCCCCGCCGCCCTTCTGCTGCGGCCCTGCCACTCTTCTCTCCTGCAGCCGACCGCCGCGCCGCCGAGTACCGGAGGAGCCGCCCGGCCGCCCACCAGCCGAGCCGCCCAGCAACCCAGCCGCCGAGCCCCTGTGCAGCCGAGCCACCCAGCTGCCGAGCACTGAGCCGCCGAGCCGCCCAGCCGCCGAGCCGCCCAGCAGCCGAGCCGCCCGACCTGCCCTGTCCGGTGAGCGCAGCCCCACTGTCACTGCGTGCCCTTCCCCTACTGCTTGCACTGCTAGGCTACTGTCGTCATGGCTACCCCTAGTGTCCTCGCTTTTGACGCTGAGGGTCGGGCCATTGACTTTGAGGTCTGGGTAGACGACCTGCAGCTGTTCTTACAGTGCGATAGGGCAGACGGCCTCTCTCTCTTTGACCTTACCTCTGGCGCTTCCCCTGCCCCTGCTGCTGATGCTGACGCCACTGTTCGCTCCCAGTGGGCCACGCGCGACGCTGCCGCACGTCTTGCTGTGCGTCGTCACCTCCCTACCTCCGAGCGTGCGCACTTTAGTCAGTACAAGAGTGCTCAGACCTTGTACGATGCTGTAGTCGCGCGCTACTCCTCCCCTTCCACTGCTGCACTGAGCCGTCTCATGCTGCCGTACCTCTTCCCTGACCTTGCTGCCTTTCCCACCGTTGCTGACCTCATTACGCACCTCCGCACTAGTGACACTCGCTACCGCGCTCCACTTCCTGCTGACTTCTGCACCACGAACCCCCCCCCCATGTACATCACTCTGTACTTCCTAGTCACTCGCCTCCCTGACTCCCTTCGAGTAGTCAGGGACCACTTTCTCTCAGTCTGTCCCACCACACTCACTGTAGACCTCCTCGAGAAGGCCCTCCTCGCGATAGAGAAGAGCATTGTCGCTGTAGGAGCCTCTCGAGGTGACCCGCGCACCCCCATCTTTGAGGGGTGTTTTCCCTCCCCCTTGCTGCCCTCTGTTGCCTCTGCTGCTGCGGCCGACCTCCTTGGTCTTGAGTCGGTCGGTGCGGCGTCTGCCCCTAGCGGGAGACGCCGCTCTGGCAAGGGCAAGGGGGGCAAGGGAGCTGGAGGAGAGGGCGGTGGAGGTGGAGGTGGAGGCAGTGGGGGGAGTGGGGGTGGCGGTGGAGGTGGAGGTGGGGGTGGGGGGGTCGGTGGCGGCAGTGGAGGCGGAGGCGGCGGCAGCGGTGGCGGTGGTAGCGGAGGTGGCGGAGGAGGCGGCGGTGGAGGCGGCGGTGGAGGCGGCGGCGGCAGTGGAGGCAGCGGAGGCGGTGGAGGCGGTGGGGGTGGCGGTGGAGCTGGTCGCGGGTCTTCGCAGAGGAGTGGCTCAGGTGGTGGCTCGCGCCAGCAGCAGCAGCGTGGTCGTGCGACCCTGTCCCCTCAGCAGCTCCGTGAGTGGTACACTGCACGCCAGCGGGGTGGGGGTTTTGGTCCGTGCACCTACGTCCTGCGCACCGGCGACCGTGCGGGTGAGCAGTGTGGGGGTGCGCACCCCACTCCGCGCTGCTTTGGCCGCCTGACGGACGCGTGGCGTCACCAGTTCCCGGAGGCCTCCGAGATCCCTCGCTGGGACGAGCTGTCTAGGGCGGGGGTTTGTCAGAATATTATAGCTTATGCTTTTGTGTAGGCTATAGTGGGGTATCTCATAGGGGGTACAACCCAATTAGGGTTAGTACTTGTAGCCACTCATTTCATAGTTCATTCATTCACGTTCACTTCTTCACATGGAATCAGAGCAGGTCCCCTCCTAGGGACTGTTCCCAGGGCCCACCGAAGCGCGCCCCGAGGCGCGCGTTCCTTTTTTTTTTTTTTTCGCGGCCCTCCGTGTCGCCCCTAGCGGCCCGTTACGCCGCCCTTACCTACGCGGCCCCGCCGCCCTTACCTCCGCGGCCCCGCCGCCCTTACCTACGCGGCCCCGCCGCCCTTACGTCGCGGCCCCGCCGCCCTTACGTCGCGGCCCCGCCGCCCTCACGTCGCGGCCCCGCCGCCCTCACATCGCGGCCCCGCCGCCCTCACCTCGCGGCCCCGCCGCCCTCACGTCGCGGCCCCGCCGCCCTCACGTTGCGGCCCCGCCGCCCTTACGTCGCGGCCCCGCAGCCCTCACGTCGCGGCCCCGCCGCCCTCACGTCGCGGCCCCGCCGCCCTCACGTCGCGGCCTCGCCGCCCTTACGTCGCGGCCCCGCCGCCCTCACGTCGCGGCCCCGTCGCCTCACCTTCGCGGCCTCGCCGCCCTCACCTTCGCGGCTCCGCCGCCCTTACCTACACGGCCCTGCCGCCCTTACCTACGCGGCCCCGCCGCCCTTACCTACGCGGCCCCGCCGCCCTTACGTCGCGGCCCCGCCGCCCTTACGTCGCGGCCCCGCCGCCCTCACGTCGCGGCCCTGCCGCCCTCACGTAGCGGCCGCACCGCCTCACCTTCACGGCCCCGCCGCCCTCACGTAGCG